CCTCAGAGCTGATGATCCGAGTCGATGGTCCACGCTTGTTATTCGTCTCGACGTGGCAGCTTCGCCTTCGTGTCAAGTCTTCCTCAGCGGGCCATCTCCTCGAATGAGGCATACTCACTCCATACTGTCTTATGTTGTATTTATAATCGAAGGTGATTATAACTGAACTCATCCAACGTTTCTCCTGGAACTCTTCAACATCATCATAAGTTCAGCGCTTTGTTGCTCTTAAGGTTTCTTGCTATCCTTGCCAATAGTTTATAGAGTTAATCGATATCGATTTTTGGTCGGTTTCCTGGATTTTATAGTGGTTCCAAGTGTTTTTTCTTTGTGGATCTACTTGTTCTCAAGAAATGGTAAGGCATAAGTTTAAAAAAAAGGAGTGTACGGATATAGAATTACGTATGACAGAACCCAGTAGCGAAAGTAGAATCAGCAAGGTCTTCCTTAGTGATTTGAATTCAGTTTGAGATGAGATTAGATTCCTGTGGGCTCTTTTTTTGGATCTGAGAATGCGAGTGTTTTTTTCTTAGGAAATACTGCGCCCATTTGTGAGTCAATATATACATACCTAAGGGTAGACATAGGTAGGTGCGTTTAAAAAGAATTTAAAGCTATTACTACTAATAATAAATTTAGGAATGAAGGGGCAGGTAGTGCAGTAGTACCTTAGACTGTAGCATTAATGCCGCTCATCACGAGCATGGTACCGGTTCGACCCCACTCCTCGGAATCACCAAGGTTCTCATCCTCCGGGGTCGGAAAATTGCTGCAAAACTTCTGGAAAACTTCACTCTCCGCAATCCAAGTGGGAACGCTCTACTCCGTTCTACTATCTCAACGCTCGAGAGGGGAATCTCAGAGGGAGAATCTACTCGAAATATGTTCAGTGAAATTCATGACGAAAGGAAAAGTCCCCTAGCAGAAGCAACGAGCTCACACGTAAAAATTGAGGCACCTTCGTGGATGGCGAATGCGAGTAAACGAATCGAGAAGTCCAAGAAGTGTTCGTATCCGCTCAATAGATGTGAAATACGGGTCGCGTAAACAAATAAATAAGCAAATATTTAATGATGACTTGCTATAAACATGGTTACTGATATTTATGCAGGTGATCCTAGCCAACTAGCCACAAGACCTTGTATTAGCACTGAGAAACAAAAAATTTAGAAGGTCGGATCCGTTCCGTGTTTTTGCTGCAGTAGGTGGGAACTTACTCCTTCAGAAGACACATAGTCATATTCTTACATGGATGTGCTATCATATGCAAGGATTGCATCATACACATCGATTCGGCAAACAGCTTCAATCGAATGACTACTGAATACACAAAAGGCGGTTCCACTGAGTCAAACCTATGTCGTGGGGCCAGTGTGCTCAACAAGCTTTTCCTAAATCTGTTCAGTTCTTAACAACCACTTTTCACCATTTACTCATAGCTAGCTTCTCATCAAAGACGGTAAAATAAATCGCCTCTCAACAAAAGTGTAATGTTTTTTGTGCTCCTCTTGTCTAGCAAGCAGAGCACACTGGCCAGCACTTGCACGCGATTGGGGCACGCACAGAGACTTGTGTCAGCTCGAATCAATCAATGACCAGTCGCATTACGAGTGATGTTACTAAGATTAGCATCTTACGTCGGACCTCTAATTCGAGTTAGCTCTAGAATTTATCTTTTTAACTAAGAATGAAATTAGTAGTGAACATGGATTGAGTAATGAGGAGGCGGAGTTCTCTGAATGACATAGGTTTCACTCATTGGAACCCCTCTTGGGTATCCTATACTGTAGTCATGCGTAGCTTAAGAGAAAGTCGATTTTTGAAGTACTGGAATGAGTTTGATCGAACGATTTGCTCGGCTAACGTTTCGACGTCTTCATGTTCTTCAGAGCCGATACTCCCAGTCCATAATCGTTCTTTTTCTCGGAACCGCTTGTTAGTTTAAAAACCCAAAAAAGTGCGAAAATGAGTAATTCAAGGACTACCTTTTCTTTAACCTCAGAATGACTAGTCAGCACGTATTCTTTTACTTATAAGCCAACACTAGGTCGACAAAGAACTTCACTCGGCTAACGTTTCGGCGCCTTCGCCTTCCTTCTTTCGCCCATTAGCTGAATAAAGCTTTTTTTTAAAATCAAGCTCGTTCTAGCGTATCAATGAAGGAGTACTGAAACTAGTGCTTCCTAATCGTATCCAACGCCGCTGACCCCTATGTACGAACTCATTCCACAGATATTCATCCAGTATCCTGCTTTATTGGTCAGATTATACGAGATTATTACACGGCTTCGTTGCATCTATCGCTCCTAAACAACTGCCTTCTTCAGAGCGGAATTGATTCGAGCTGAGTTTTCAGGCTGTTTCGTGCGATGTGTGGATCTTCACAGTTGAATTGAATGGAGTTGAATCATCATACGAACGAAATGATCTTAGCAGACACAGCCTGAGGGTATGATGTGGCTCATTGTCGACTCCCACCTAAGTTTAACGGTTTTCATGGTTAAAATCTATTAGGTAGCAGTGAGCGCTGTAGTATTTGGCAATGGTGGAACAATACCTTAAGTACCGACCTTCATTTAACTTACCATAGGTAATCAATACCTCAGATAAGGTAGCACGAGTTAAAGTCGCTTCATTAACACTTCCATTCGATGCAACTACGAATCACTTACGACTCACACTTCGTATAGAATAGCTGTTATGGACATCCGATTTAAATTGTTGTTGCTCTGATAGGAACGATTACACCGGAATGTTAGCCATAATAAAAATTTGCAACTTTTCAAGTAGGTATATTGACAAATCAGAGATATTATCTCTAAAGAGGTTAAGTAAAAATCAGCTCGAAAGAACGATGGTCGTTCGCTTCGCTATCCGAAACGCTCTTGGATAGGATGTATGGATATGTCTTGGATGTAAAGTTCGCAACATTCAGCATGCTCTTACTACTTTAGTGAGAGCCTTACCACCTTGAACATCTCCTTACGTGAGCTTACTTTTCATGCTTTCCTCAGATATTGATTACCTCAGGTATTGATTGAACCCATTGAGAAATTCTTTGGTCTTTTATCGAATTCCTCCTACGATTTGGGTATGAATGATTATGTTACATCCATTCTGGATCCATCCTTGGAAAAGCAACCTCAATTTGAATCTTCTCAAAATTGACTACTCATCACTTTTGTTTTGCTACTCTTTTCATTTCCTATTCAGGAATTTGTGGATTTTAATCATCATTTTCAATAAAACTAACGACATAACGAGAATGATGCTGAGACATTTACAAAACTCCGGACCGCAAATGTCTGCGATGGAGATCGAATCCTCTAATACCACTTCCGGAGCATAACTTCCGGAAAATTAACGATATTAGGTGGTCTAATCACGAAGTCGTTTTGAGAAAGGCGGTTTCAGGAAAAACCTAACGAAATCGAGGTGGTGAAATGCGAATCGCTGATTCTATAAAGTCTCAGGATTGAGTATATTAGAGAAAAACTTACGAATTATGACCAGGAATGGAAACAAACAACAAAAAATAAAATAAACAAGCGTCTGACCCAATACCTTCTTCGCCATGAAATGCTATTTTGATTTGCAAAGAGTTACTAATATTAGTGCAGCGCTTGAGTATGCTGATGGCATAATTATATGTACGTTGTTTCCATAAGACGAGTGTAGTGGAGTGGTTAGAGGCACCCTGTAATACACAAGGGATTGATCCCAGCGTCCATGGCGCACCATGCCTTCCATCCTTCCGGGATCGGCAAATGGTACCAGGCTTGTCTGGGAGGATAGTAACATTGCCTCGATACATCGGTAGGCTACCGCGAGTCATTGTAAAGGCCAGATATGCATTTAATCATCTCCAGTGATACATAATGAAGTTGAATGCATGGCGCATTCTTCAGGGATTGATCAACGCCGAGAGCTTTATTCTTTATCCTTTACCTTATCGTTTCCTTAATGGTTTACTGCTTCGTTGTGTCTAGAAGTGTTCTTGATAATCGAACTACCGATGTGCAGAGTAAAGTCGTCATATCTCTAGGGTATTCTAAGCTAAGGAGCTCAAACCGGAAACTCAGCTAGGAGCAAGATGATGTCATGACATCTCCAGACGATCTACGTTTTGCTATGTTTTCAACAAAAGCTAAAAAGAAAAAAAAACTAGTCCGCATAAAAAGTCGGGTTCTTTCGATGTACATAGCGTAATCGGAGCAGTGACTGGCAGTGGAGCGCGTTAATAACAAAAGGAGTGTTTCACGTGCCGCATTGAGTTATTCGATGATTGAAAGAGTTGGAGGTAGTAAAGGTAATATTTCATACTAGTCAAACATTGTATTTTATTAAAAAGCTAGAAAATATGAATAAAAACCATATGGATCCTTCTAGAAGTTCGGATTCGGCTCGTTTTTTTCGTGGTCTCTTTCGTCTCTATAAGCTTCGTTTGTACATGAACTTTAGTGCAGTACTCACCACCTACACCTTAAAGCACCCACTATAGCAAAGAAAACAAGTATGTCTCTCTTTTTTGCTTAATTATAACGCAGATAAGAAGGTTAAGAATCAACGTTTACTATGAACGAGTCGTACTTCTTACTTCGTACTTTTAAGAAGTATTACATTGCTTCTACTTCTACTTCTAGAGTTTACTACATTCTACCGAGAACGTCCTATCCGTATAAGTTCGTTTGACTTAGTATGTGACCTTGGAAACCTAGACGACAAGGATTCGAGAAGATCGGATGAAAATCGACTTCCTGGAAGAAATGGTCCATATTTTTCCCTGTCAACTTTGTGTTCTAACTGCCATGAGTTCCTGCCGTCGAGTTGCAATTTTTCCTTGCTGGTACTCTGAAATACCCTTCAGTTCAATAGCGTATTGATTGAGTATATTGATTTCGACTTTTCATCTTTTTTATTGGCACAATCAATATGACATATACCATAATGCTCCATACCCATAACCGTTTCAGTACTGAGTATAAATTACTTTTCAGAGTTCGTGGATTTAGTTCTCATGGACTTGGTGTTTTCCATATGATTTTTCTATGCTGTTAAGGGTTTTCTATATCTTTCCACCATTTGTGTTTTCCCTTGCAGTACTTTGCTCGATTCCCCTCTGGTAGTAGTCGGCAGTACTGTTTCTGCGATGTTTTTCATAGAATCTCACAGAACCTGCTGGAAGATATGACTGGAAATGATATGGAGATGTATCCATTACACAAGGCGGCATTCTTCAACGACGCGCAGTCCATAGCTCAACTTATAAAATCAGGTAGATTTCCTTTATTTTGTTCAGTTTTTGCTTACCTTTATATTTTTATTTTATTTATGTGGTCATGCCTTACTGGATTGTTGAGATAACACAAGCTTAATAGAGAGACCTATTCGGCTACCGTTTCGACGTCTTCGTCTTCAGCAGAGCTAATGATGGTCCGAGCCGATGGTCCACAGTTATCTCGGACTCGATCATCGACTCTGATGTAGACGAAGACGTCGAAACATTCAAAGATAGAAAGTATAGAGCTCTCGGCGTGGATTAATCTGTGAGGGATGCGCTACGCCTTCGGCTTCAATAGGCATTGTTGGAGGTGATTGAATGCATATCTGGGCTCTACAATGACTCGCGGTGACCTGCCGATATATCGAGTGAGTGCTGTTTTCCTCTCAGACAAGTTTGGCACCAATTTAACGACCCTGGCGGAATGGAAGGCTTGGTGAGCTTGGGCGCGGGGATCGACTCTATGTGTATTGCAAGGCGTCTCTGATCGCTGCGCTACTCGCGCCGCCTAAAGTGCATCAGGAATCTTTTTAAGAATCTAAACATTGACCGAGTAGACCCTTTATCAACCTCGTGTTAGCTCAACAATCCAAAAAGTTATCTGTTACTATTACCGAGGTCGAATGACGATCGGTTTGAAAATTATATTCTTAGATTTGTCTGGAGGCCGTCTAGTGGGTTCTTTGTACTCATAGGCAGGAATTTAGGAATTAATTTGACTTTATGAGGAACATTTGTATTGATTACATACTTTTTTCACTTTAATATTCTAGGACGGAGTTTGTATGAACAAGATATGCATGGAAACACGGCGCTTCACATATCAACAATGCTTGGTCATAGAGGTTTGTCAGTTAGTTTATTGATGAGCTTAGGTTCTCTGATGTACCTTAGTGGTTCGAGGGCATAAGTTCTAAGTACCAGAGGTCTTTTTGTAACAACATCTTTTGACAAGCATACTTTTCCTGGTCTGGTCACTAGCATTTGGATCTCTTTTGCTATTGTATTTATTTACATTTATTTACATCTATTCCTTCCAACGGTTTACCGCCTTGTCGTGGCCGAGAGTTGTTCCTTGATCTGGAGCTACGATGTACAGCGGGGTGATTCCTCTCCTCAGCAGGCTCTCCCATGCTGAGAAAGAGTTCGGCGTTTTCATCATGAAGCCCAGGCAAGTGTAAGCCAATACCAGAATCCGCCACCTTCATTGTATCAAACAAATCGCATGGTGGCAAGTCTCACTCCGATCCACAAGAGTGACGACTTCCTGTGGTGGTGACGACCTGGAGTAGACCTTGGCCCCCTCCCTCCTCCTGTGTTCATTGTAAGTTCCCTGGAGGCTCTTTCTCTTGGGACTCCAGGGAATTACAATACGCGCAATGGCTAAACGAGCAAAACTTCAAAGAAGTGGAAATTGTGCTGGGGTTCGCACAACCAGAAAAGACAAGCTATTCAAGTATCAGATTTGTTACTGGATTTTCATTCACCATATTGTTATCGTTACCAATTTTTCCAATTTAAAATTGTCGAAGGATTTTTAACTCTAGGAATGAGATTCTATGTTCTTTAATTCAACAGTATACGTTTAGTGGAGATTCTTCAGCTGGTTTCAAGATTCAGCAGAGAAAAATTAAAACTGGGCATGTTTCCCGTCTGAGAATACCAAATTAAAACCATATGTTTGACTTTTTATTCACTGCCTATTACTTTTTTGCGGTCAGGTGATTGCTGGTGGCATCGTTAGGGTTAAAACTGACTGAGAAAAAGTCAGATATCTCAACATCATTGTAGTGGTTGTATTAAAACCACTAGGTTATTAGTAGTATATTTCATTGCAAATTTCCCAAATTTACTTTTAAAGTGTTTTTTAAGCAGTTTTAATTGCAGTAGATGATTTTATAGAGGCCACTGCTCTGCTGTTGGCACACAATGCTCCGGTGAAGGTGAAAAACTGTGACGGTTGGAATCCTCTGATGGAAGCAGTCAGTTATGGTGATAGGCAAATAAGTATGTTGGCTTTTCGAATAGCTCCGTTCCTTCTTTTTTTTTTTGTTTTTTCTAGTTGCACTGTAATGTATCTTATCCCTTCTGTTTCGAAGTAATAGGTTCTGTTTAAATCCTGGCGTTTCGTTTATCCATGAGACTTCAGTATAGGTTTCCATTCGACTATCACTGTAATACAAGGTACTGTGGTGTAGCAGAGTAGTAGTTGGAGGCGCCATGCAATACAAAGAAGATCAATCTCTGCACCCCATACCCACCAAGCCTTTCGTCCCTCAGGGATTGCCTAATTGGTACCAGACTTGTCTGGCAGGATAGCAGCACTGAATCAATACATTGTTAGCCCACCGCGAGTCATTGTAAAGGCTAGATATGCATTCAGCCACCTCCAACGATGCTTAATGAAGTCGAATGCATGGCGCATCCCTTAGGGATAAATCAAAGCTGAAAGGTTTATCCTTTTTATCCTTTAGCTTTATCCTTCTGCTTCTCTTACTAGTAATGGTTGTTTGTTTTACTAGAGGATGAAGTGGTGTTTAGCTCGACTCCTATCTTTCCGTATAGAAGACAATCTTAACGATTACTCGTTTTGACTGCCAGATTAGAAGCTTTCTTGTCTACATTGGGTGGTGACCTTCTATAATCGAGTCATTTATATGGTTCTATACATTTTTTTCTTGTTTTAGTTACTGAAATGCTACGTAAGCTGAAGGCCCAGTCTCGTATGGGGATTTCATCACGCAAGTCGCATCTGTTGAAGGTGTTAGAAGATATTGGCGACTTCTATCTCGAACTAAAATGGGATTTTCAGAGTTGGAGTTGGTATAATCGTGGCCTTTGTCTTACATTTTCATGTCTCTTTATGCTTTATCGCGTTATTGTTCATTGTCATTTCTCTGCAGTTCCTCTTCTTTCGCGTATGTTACCATCGGATGTTTGTCAAATTTACAAAAAAGGAACTCTGTTGCGTATGGACACCACACTTGCCGACTTCAAGTAAGGATTTTCCTTTACATGCTTGCCAGAACATGTCTGTTACTCATTATTTTACTTGTCCTTTCCTCTAGCAGTTCTGTAAGTTCAGCTCTCTTCCTATTGACTTCATTCAGTGAACGTCGATGGGAACGTGGGGATATCTCATTCCTTTTCAATGCTACAGCTCAGCACGAGTCAGACGAATTGATAATTATGGACAACAATTCAAAGATAAGTACCACTTTGTTGTTGTCATTTTCTTTGGAGTTATCAGCAACGACATTGTTACGTATTGTTTCAATGACATGTGTTTTCAGGTGTTCCAACGAGTGCGCCATGAAGAGTCTGAAGCAGAAGTCGATGAAGAGGTTGACGTTCTCATGTCTTCCGACATTGTTTCTGCGCAGGTAGAGAGAGAGAATTGATATTTTTAATATGTGAAATGGATTGAATTTTTCTGAAATTACTGAAAATACTTGGATGCTTCGATAACCTGTCTTCACTGGTAGTGTGGGTTCCAACATAATTTCCACTTTTTGGAGTTTTGCTAGTTTAGCCATTGTGGTTCTCTGGACCTCCCAACGGTTCATCGTCTCATCATGGTTGGGAGGTGTTCGTGGGTGTCGGACTGCGATGTATAGCGGGAGGATTCGTTCCCCTGCCAGGGTCTCCCAAGCTGAGAAGGAGTGCCGCGTTTCCATCAGGAAGCCTAACTAAGAGTAAAGCAATACCAGGGTCCACCACCGTCTTGGTATCAAGGTCGCATAGTGGTAAATCTCCCTCTGATCCACAAGAGCTGCAACTACCTGTTGTGGTGACGACCTGGAGCACACTTTGGCCTAGCTGTCCTCGGGATTCCAGGGAACCACAATGGCTTAACCAGCAAACCTCCGGAAAATGGTGATTATGCTGAAGACCACACAACTAGTGATGACAGGCCGTTCAAGTATCAAGTAAGTAAGTAAGGTTCTCTGGACTCCCGAGGTCAGCCTGGCCAAAGTCTTCACAACCACAGGCAATAGCCGCTCTTATGAATCAGAGAGAGAGAGATTTGCCACCATGCAAGTAATTTGATACCAGGACAGTGGTGGATCCTGGTATTGGTTTACTCTTAGCTGGGCTTTATGATGTAAGCGCTGGAACCATTCTCAGCCTGGGAGGCCCTGCTGGGGAATGGATCCCCACAATGTTCATCGCAGCCCGACATCCAGGAACACCTCCCAGCCACGAGGAGGCGGTAAACCGTTGTGAGGTGTGTGCAGTTCACGTTTTAGAAATCTATGATTTTCTTACGTAGTAGGATTAAGTACTGATTGCATTGCCTGTGACAGGAGTTGTTTTATCCCGAAGTATCTCTTATCAGAACTTAAGTTAACTCGTGGATGAGTTTTCAGATGTCGACAAAAACCATAACGTTTCGTCAGGCGTTTTCTGGTTGGGTCTTTAAACATGCTAGAGAGGTACTAACATTTTTTTCTTTACGTTGTTTCGTCATTCTTCAGAGTTTTCCTTGGAGAAAATAGAATGAATATTATTGAAGCGTTTCATATTTGTGCGGATTTTGCACCTAACTTTCACGTAAGACTATCTATAATAGGGTTTTTAAGAACTAAGTTGATTCAGAGTCGTGCTCTTTATCTTCGTTTCTATAGTTTCAATTCCTTTCAACTTCTTAGGAACAAATTGGTGATTACAACGTGAATTTCTATCTGGTAGATGGAATGAAGTTGGTTTCGAGAAAAAGGCGTGAGCATCTCTCTGTCGACGATATAAAGAAGAATAAGTCATTCATGCAGTCATTGGCAAGCGGTGCTGCAGTTGGTGATGAGGATTTCAAGGTGATGAGTCGATTGTACCGACGTCATTTTTCTGTGCCAAGGACCAAATTTAAAAATTCGCGTTCTCGGTCCTTAATTTAGAACGATTGGACAATTTCAGAGTCTTCAGCACAGAAAATCATTACCTCCACCAGGTCGAATGCCAACCACATGGGAAGAATACATGGGTGCCGCACCTGGAGCGGCTCCTCCCCTTGGAAGGGCTCAAATTCTAAAGCAGAACGAGAAGCAATTAACAGCATTGATTGGAATGGTAAGCTGCTCACTCCTCATGGATTTTTTCATTTCCATTACTCTCGGTTGAATTTTTAGATGTTTTCACCTTTAATGTGTGGTAATAGGGAAAAAGTGAAGATTAAGGGGGGGGGGGTTTCTTTTAATATTTCTATTCATGGTCGCAATAATGAATCATATTAGTCATCTCTAGGACCACTTTTGTCTCGCTAAGAAATTACTTTGATCTAAATTTATTAAGAGTGAGGACTTTCCAATGGACATTGATGTGTTGCTTAATATATTGGAAATCGTCGCTCCTTTTAAACATCTTAATAAATTGAGGCGATTTTGTGAGGCTAGACTTCCGCCTGGATTTCCTGTTCGCATAGGTAGGTTTTATCTTTCTTTCTTAACTTATTTTACATATTTTTTATATTGAGTGTTTCCATCGAACTGGAGGTAGTTTGCAACATTGCGAGCACTTTTTGCAGACAATGATGAAATTATGTTATAGGTAACGAACACTAAAGGGTGAAAGTTGACTTACTTATTTGGATACTAGGATGGCCTGTTTTCACTGGTTGTGCGAACGGCAGCGTAATTTCCCCTTTTTCGGAGTTTTGCTGGTTTAACCATTGTGGTTTCCTGAAGTTTCGAGGTCGTGGCCAAAGTCTGCCTCAGGTCATCACCACCACAGACAGTAGCGGCCCTTGAGGATCAGATGGAGATTTACCACTGCACGACTAGTTTGATACCAGCAGGATGGTGGTGGGTCCTGGTATTGGTTTACTCTTGGTTGGGCTTCTTGATGGAAACGGCGAGCTCCTTCTCACATAGAGAAACCCTGCTGGGAGAGTGAATTCCCTGCTTCACGTCGCAACCTGACACCCAGGAACACCTCCAACCACGATGAGGCGGTAAACGATTTGATCGGGTGGTTGATTACAACATTTGTTTTGCGGTGATAAATACTGGAAATATTAGGAATGGAGTCAATTTGCTTACATGTTTTCTAAAATAGGAAAATTTTAGGAATGAACATTTCAATTTCCACTAATTGAGTTCATGCTTGCAGAGATTCCTTTGCTGCCGACAATATCAGCAAAAATCACGTTCCAGAAATTGCAATTCGGACTGAATATCTCGGATAAGGTCTTCTTTGTACCAGCATCTTATCGTGAAGATCCTACAAGGTTTCCAGATCTGTGACTTTCTGACGGGTAGAAAGGAGAGAGCTGGTTTCATAGCAAAATAGTTTTACGGCGCTGTTCATGGGCTTTTGTGAGGTTTTTAATGCTTAAGGTTTTTTTAAAGTTTTTTTTTCTCTTCATATAGCATCTTATCGTTCGATTTCATCGAGAGATTTCAGTTCTGCAGGGTTTCTTTTAGCTTTTTGTTTGTACAGCGAATCCAATCTTATGCTTCTATGTTTCCATAAGGCGTCTAATATTTCTACTTAGCACATTAGCGACCATATTTACCAGCTGTGACAAGTATGTTTGAATGACTGTGATCTTATGTTTGGGATTTTAAATAATGGACAGTTTTGTTGCCAACACAAGCTCACAATTCTGTGGATTTCGTAGCTTTAAAGCTCCTGAACTCCTAGAATTTGTAGTCCTTCTCGCCCGTTTTTAACTTTTAGAACTTGTAGTCCTTCTCATCCGGTCGGGCTTTTTCTTGTTGATTTTTACTGTTTTCTTATTCTCGATATCTATGTGGTACTCGCCATTTCTAACTACGGTGATGTATAGATTCCATACTCATGAACGTTTGTACGATCTCTGGTACTACTTATGTTGCATTTATTGCTTTTGCTTAGTGGAAACTCATATTCTTTTGTCGGCATTTGTAATTTCTTACGTTTAGGTAGCAAATTGGTTTGAACATTCCCTGTGTTTAAGTAATTCTAGTTTACGAGTAAGAACGGCTTCTAATAACTTTATGGAATTAATTAACGCTGTGGTAAGTCTAATTCCCTTTAGTGACACCATATATCTGTTCTTCATCGTTATACACACTTTTATTGGTCTGCAGAAGAACATTGGCTTCAGCTCAACATGGTTGTATTTGACTGCTAGTGTTTAAGTGTTTTGTTTAACTTCGGTGAGAAATTTCGGTGTTTTAATGTATTAGCTCTATGCTGCGGTAGTTTGTATTCTTCTTCAAGCAAACAAATCTCACTGTTTTCGGTGTATTTTTATTTTTTAATCTTTCCCAACACCGGACTATTAATGTTGGTTGGTCCAGGGGACTTGCACAATAAATCGTTCATTTCGTTTTGTTTTTTTGTCTTCTATTCACTTTATTTCGATTCGTACACTGGTCCTAAGGTGGTAAATTGTTTGGAAATTAGTAACGGATCTGATCTATCAGAATTTTATGCTTTGTTTCTTAGTGTTTCATGATAAGAAATAGGAGATAAAGCTATCGGCGTTGATCAGTCCCCGAGAGATGCGCCATGCATTCGACTTCATTAAGCATCATTGGAGGTGTTTGAATGCATATCTGGCCTTTACAATGATTAGCGGTGGCCTGCCGTTGTATCGAGCCAGTGCTGCTTCCCTGCCAGAGTAATCTGGTACCAATTTTCCGACCCCGAAAGAATGAAAGGGTTGGTGGGCCTCTGGCGTGGGGATCGATCGTTTTTATGTTGCAGGGCGCGGCGGACTACTATGCTACACGAATCCATGCTGTACTTCATATTGTGTTACCCTTTCTTACAACGAAAGCGACCCATTTATTGACCGTATTCTGGTATATGACAAACAACTTTTCACGGGGCAGTACTGTCATAATATCTGTGCTAGATAAGCTACCTACTGTGTACAAAGAGTGCTGTAAAAAGTTCTATGCTGCAATAGGCACTGCTGAGAGGACCTGAATACGACACAATGGAGATCGTACATTTTGCTTCGTATCGTCTTGTGTTCGTCGTTTAATACTTACATTGGAGAAACCGTTAGAATTTTCAGATTCTTGATTACAAGATGCAATTTACCTTATTCTGCCACGATGAAATTCTGATCTGGAGACTATCTTCTCATACCAAGCACTTCTTTGTACATATGTATGGATATACTTATTTCTGCTTCTATACTCGTCCCAATTGAACAGGCGACATTTTTTCCCAGTAGGACACCAAAATGTACTCCAGTGTACTGTTTATTTTGGCCAAGTGCAGCTGCTGAACTGGAAAGTTTACAGATCTAGGTCTTGTTTTCCACTTTTTCAGAACTCTAAACTTAAACACATTTAAGATTAAAAGAGTGCTGCGTAGAAAGTATATGCAGGATTACGCCGACAGGTCGAACTCTCCTTTAGGAATCTGTGAGTTTTTGTCTCCTCGAATACGATAGTGATTACTTACTGTCAGTCCTCGAAAAAGCAAGTTTTTGCTAGTGACGACCTTCTTAACCGTAGTGATACAATAGCAACTCGTCGATGCATTTCTCGAAGTCGAATCTGCATCAAAACAAAGTTATGACAGGTTTTCTTAAGCTAAACAAATTAACTGATCCAACAAAACTTAGTGAACCAAGCCACTCGTCAACTGACTGTCATTTCTCCAAGCACGGCAACTACTTGTGAGAGAAATTCATTCATCCAAAACGGCGTTAAAGTGACAATAAAAGGATAAAGCTTCTGGCGTTGATCAGTCCGTGAGGAATGCGCCATGCATTCGACTTCATTAAGCATCGTTGAAGGTGATTGAATGCATATGTGGCCTTTACAGCGACTCGCGATAGCCTACCGATGTATCGAGCCAGTGCTGCTAATCTCCCAGACAGGTCTGAATCTGCCAAGTCTGGAGGGATGGAGAATTTGGTGGGCCTGGGGCACGGGGATCGATCCCATGTGTATTTGAAGGCACCTTCGACCACTGCGCTGCACGTGCCTTAATATGGTACCTTCTCAAAATCCGTGGCTTTCAGAAATGTGCTGTTTTACCATAAAAGTTAAAAAGCACTATATCTTTCCAACGCTGCAGTGAAAACTCGGTGAAGGATTTACATTAAAGCATAAGTCCAGGAGCGCTAAATTTGCTGCGTTCTTTTTTTGAGCACACTGAATAGATTGTAGAGATTTAATGCAGTCTTGGACTGCAGAGGAGAAGCCTTTTGAAAAGTTAACCTAATAAAAGGTGCCGTCGATCTCATACTCACTCTAAGGAACAGGCGAATGCCCTTGTTGGAAGGGAGCTTTATTTGAATGTAATAATCAGCTCTGATTTACCACTGAGATAATTTTGTTAATTGTAAATGGAACATTTCGTTTAAGCAAAGGGAAGAGTCCACTCAGATAATTCTTTCTGGAACTCAATGAAAGGCTTTGATTATTGGTATGGGCCATATAGAGAGATACTAGGTCATTATTAGCTAAGCTTTTGTTCTAACAGAAACTCAGAGTGCGTTTTTTGTATGGGATTAATGCTTTTTCAGCAATTATAGTCGTATTACAATGAGAAAATGAGAATCTATTTCTAGTCATAGCCAATCCTCTCATACTTCCGGTCGTAGCTAATACGACCGTTGCTGGAGCTTCAAAAATTCACCTTTGCTGTGATTACTACCAGGGGCCCGTGTGGCGCAGTGGTCGGGGCGCCCTGAAACACGTGGAATCGATCCCCGTGCCCATGGCCCACCAAGCCTTCCATCCCTCTGAGGTCGGCAAATTGGTACCAGACTTGTCTGGGAGGATAGCAGCGCTGGCTCGATATATCGGTAGGCTACTGCGGGTCATTGTAAAGGCCAGATATGCTTTCAGTCACCTCCAAACGGTAGTTAACGAATACGAATGCGTGGCGCATCCGACAGCGATTGATCAACGCCGAGAGCTTTATCTTTTAACCGTCTTGCTTATGATTACTATCGTTGAGAAAACGTGAATAAACTCATCGTCGAATCTGATTCCAAAACGTAAAAAATTCCTCTTTGGTTCATGAGCTGAACAACAGTGGCTCAGACAGAATTTGGTCCTCAGTGCGCTCGTAATAGTTACAATGAAGTGCCGATGAATCTGAAAATATTATGAGGAATCTATGCTTCACACAGAGACTTTTTGCTTCAGTAGTCATTGATCCACTCCATTCAATGAGCTTCTTCAATGAGTTCAACGGCCTCTTGGAACACATTAGAGAAGGTCCTCGCACAGGAGTCGAAAACACAAGCGCGCGAAATTCTCGAGGCATTCTGGATTAATTCTAAGAATCCGTAAATCAACCGCAGGGAGGAATACCTCGCAATTACGCGTGATATTGGACAGTATTTACACCCGTTATTTCGATATGAGAGATACATTATGCTTCCACGCGAACTCTGTGCGGTTGGTCTCCAGGTGACATATTCAGTGGAAGGCTCGTGGAAAGCGGTGAATGTCCGAAGAAGTTATTCTGTGCTCAATTTGATTAAAATCTTGGTTTAGCATTAACGCTGCTTGGTTATGTAAGTGTTTGGTTGGATAAATTGCGCTCAACTTGACCTTTCGAAGCTCTGAGGAAGGCGTAGTCCACCGAAATGTCAGCTTGTTCTTGAATGAGGAATAAAATAACACTCCGTGTTTGTTCTAGAAGAATATGAAGAATTAGAGAAGGTGTTCAGCATCATTTAGCTGTGATTGCAATGAACGCTGCCGATCTCGAGAAGGAATCTATTCACGAAAGCAAACGCGATTTTGGCAAAATTTTGGGAAAATCGATTAAAAAAACATTAATTTTAAAGCCGCTTTTTTCACCTGTCTTCCATCGAGGAAGAACAGCCGCTCAGAGTCGCATATGATTGACGGCTATTAATTTTAGATATTGGGCAGGAACTAGTCACCACTTTCAAGCCTATTACGTCGTCCATCCCGAATTCTTTTAGGGCGAAGTTTTTTTTTAAATTCGAAGATAATTTTTAATCAACTAAATTAAAACTAAATAGCTCATTCAAATTAGTATTGTGATCTTTTCGACTAGAACGCCGTGAAAATAGCCCAGTGAACTCAAAGTTAACAGGAGGATAAAGCGCACGGTATTACCCAAGTTGTGAGTAATGCGCCATGCATTGGACTCCATTCAACCTCATAGAAGGTAGATGACCGCATGTCTAGTCTATACAATAACTTAAACGGCCAACCGTATCATGCCATTGTTTGGAGGAATTGGTTTGAATGAGTTGAGGATCGAACCAACGAGAAGGTATTTTTTGCTACTAACCTCTATTTGCCTC